ATTCAATAATAAATGAACATCGTTACAACAATATAATTATGTATAACTATCCAAATCATAAAAACATTTCAAAAGCAGAAATACTTAACTTTATTATTAATACATTAAATCTACAAGAAATAACTCAAAAGGATATACTTGAGATAATTCAATTATCGAAAACTTCAAACTCAACAATTAGAATCACCTTTAAGAATAATTACACGAGAGATCTTATCTTTTCTTCATTTATACGTAGTAAACAACAAAATCTTCTTGATGAATGGCAAAAAGTACAGATCTCCCCGGATATAACCAATAATTCAAGAACTAGACGTAAATTTCTCCTACCAACTTTCTATGAACTACGAAAACAAAATCCCCAGGTGAAATTACGCAACAATATTTTAATAATTGAGCGTGAAAAGATAACTTACAGCTTAAGTATGGGAAAACTGGTGCATGTTGATACGTTTCTTCCATCATCAAGAATAACGGATTTAATTAAATGACAGATCAACAGGAGTGAGAAAACTCAATTCCACAAACCATATTCTAATAATCAATCTTTAACAATAATAAATTGGAATAGCCAAGGTCTTAAAAATAAAATTTCACAATTAAACGTTTTTAAATCGAAACACGATCCAGATATTATTGCAATAACCGAAACCTGGATAACTTCAGAATCAATCTACAACTCAAACCTCTTTGAAAATTTTACAACAGAATCAACTTTAGCAAAAAAATCAATAGGACCAGGCCGTCCTAGTGGAGGTCTTTGCTTATTAATAAAAAAAGGTCTTTGTAAAATTCTACAGTCAAAAAAATCTAATAACTTCATTCTACTCCTCATCCAGTTTATGAAACCAACTTTTATTAATAATATGAATAACCTAATAACTCTGATGCTCACATACATTCCANTCCTAGTGGAGGTCTTTGCTTATTAATAAAAAAAGGTCTTTGTAAAATTCTACAGTCAAAAAAATCTAATAACTTCATTCTACTCCTCATCCAGTTTATGAAACCAACTTTTATTAATAATATGAATAACCTAATAACTCTGATGCTCACATACATTCCATTTGAAAACATATCAACATTGAACGAAATATCTAAACAAATAGAACTTTGGCAATATACGACTCCTTACTCTATAATAGTGGGAGACTTCAATGCGAGGATTGCAGAGTTGTTACCAGTGTATTTGGACTCCAAATACACTGGTAACAACTTTTTAATACAAAATAACAGACAATCAAAAGATAAGTACTTAAATAGCCTCGGTCAAAAGTTAATCGAAGTAATAAAAAACCTTAAAATGTATATAATTAATGGACGACTTAAGAACGATATTCCTGCAGAATATACTTGCCTAACTCACAATGGAAGATCAACTATAGATTATACGATATGTTCTGAATTGTTATTGGATTATTGCTCGAATTTTGAAATTCTTGAATTTGATATTTCGGATCATCTTCCTACAAAAGCAACCTTTTTACTATTTTTGGGAAAAAATTCTAAAAACACCTTAAATAAAAAAACAAATATACAATATAAATCAAATAGATACGCCAATGAATTTGAAAACCGATTAGATAACATCCCGAAAATTACAGAATGCAACAGTGAAGAAATATATAACTTAATGATAAATATAATGAATAATTACATAATTGTGGATAGCGACAGAAAGAAATTTCACAAAGAATTTGGACAGGGATGGTTCGATTACGACTGCTACAAAACGAAAAAGGAAAAATTAATAAAATTAAAAATGTTCAGAAAAAATTCAAACGAAATCAACTATAACAAATATAAGGAAGCTAAACGAACGTATAACAACTTAATTAAGACAAAAAAGAAAAATTACTTTAGAAAGCTTGAATTAAATCTAATTCAATGTACTAAGGATAATAAATTTTTTTGGTCTATTGTAAGGAGATATCGACCAAAACCATGTATAAATGAAATCTCTCCAATTATCGATTTTGATACCTGGAAAAATTTTTTTCAACGTTATCCAAGTATTTACTTAAAACCTCCAATAATTAATAACGCAAAAGATTATGACGAACATCTGGATGCCGACTTCACAATTGACGAATTAAATGACGCAATTCAAAAAACTAAAACCCATATAACTCCAGGTTATGATAATATTCCTACGAAATTTTTAAAATTAATGTCTAACAGTTCCAGATTAAAATTACTTCATCTTTTTAATGTTATGTACAAAACATCTACTTTTCCTGACTCTTGGAATACAGTTAATTTAACCATGATATATAAAAAGGGTGATAAATCATCTCCAAATAACTATAGACCCATTGCACTACTATCAACGCTAAGAAAATGTTTTACCTCTATGATAGCAAATAGATTTCAACAATGGACCAAAATTAACGAATTAGAAGCTAAATTTCAATACGTCTTCAAAAAAAATAAAGGAACAGAATCTGCCATATTTATTTTACTAATGATAATCCAATTGCATCTTATAAAAAAACATAGGAAAGTTTACGCCGCATTTATCGACATTAAAAAAGCTTTTGATTCAATTCATACACCTTTATTAATAAACAAATTAAAAGCTAGTGGTGCAAGCGTTAAATTCACATCTATAATAAAAAAGTTATATGGAAATTATACTATAAGAATTAAACAAGGAAACTCGATATCTCTACCTCTAAATCTTTCACGTGGAATACTTCAAGGAGACCCACTGTCACCATATCTATTTAACTTTTATCTAAGGGACATTGACCAACTCTTTAATTACTCCTCAGATAGCATTGAAATAAATAATATCTCTTTTCATTATATCCTTTTTGCCGATGATCTAGTTATTTTAGCTCCCAATAAAATATCTTTGCAACGCAAAATCAATCAACTCAACCAATATCTCAACTCAATTTATCTTGAAATAAATCCTACAAAAACTAACATTGTCATTTTTCGTAAAAACAAAAAATTAGCTAATAAGGACTCGAAAATTTATCACGAAAATACTCTACTGCAAATAACTAATGAAGTTAAATATTTGGGAGTAGAATTTGATTGGAACTTAACCTTTAAATATCAAGTGTTAAAATTAAATGTTAGGGTTAAAAAGGCAATCGATAACCTCTTATTTTTATGTTCAACAATGAAAACATCAAACTTAAACATTCATCTTAAACTCTATAATACTACAATAAGTCCTATCATTTATTACGCCAGTCCAATTTGGGGTTTGGATTATATCTACAGCCTTGAATCTCTGCATATTTACTTCTTACGTAAATTACTACAATTAGAAAAAACCATACCTGGATATGCCATTCGACACGAAACTTCACGTACTTGGATCTTCCCTCAGTTATTAAAAAGAATTATAAAATTTTATTACAGACTTAAATATAAAAGCGATGAAAATACTAGATTATTATATCAAGAAATGGTTAAACAAAGTAAAAACAGCAATAATAAACAGTTATGGCATTACAAAATTCGAAGATTACTAAATACTTTTGGAGTATCGGAACTATTATTTACAGACTCATTTCAAGATTGGAAATATGGTTACTCCCTGTTGATGGATTCTGCTATTGCTCATTCAATCAACAGAGATCAACTTTCTTTAGACCAAAGTAATTATCACCCTTGGTACAACAATATTTTAAATATCCCTTCCTTCCAACCCTATATATGGCTACCACTTGATCTGAATGTAAAACGATTAATAATTCAACTACGCCTAAATAAATATTCGATTCTTATTAATAATACTTATATAAATCTTTTAAATACACGCTGCCTGCTATGTCAACAAGAGGATTTTTCTGTGCTTCACCTCCTGCAAAATTGTCAACCCTTGGATAATATACGTGAACAATGCAATATCAAAAATATTTGTTGTTTAGATTCACCTATCGACTTCAAAAATAAATTAAATAATATCAATAAAAAAGATGCTTATAAAATTTTTAATTTTTTTGTAAAATATTCTGAAAAAATTTCCTGTAATACTTAACCACTGGCTCAACATTACAACCTAAATCTCAGAAAATGTATTATTAAGATAAATTATACTCTCTTTAAGTTGTTTAAAACATCAATTAATATTATATTGTCAAGTCATGTTGACTTACTAATTAAATTTTTTATTGTGTTTCTTATTATACAATCATGTAAAGTAAAATGTTAAATTATATTGATATTTTGTATACCCCCCAAAATAGGGGAAAATTTCCTTGGAAATAAATTATTATTATTATTTTTTTTNTAATAATTATGACAAAATATTAATATAATTATATAGATAAGTATATGGTAAATACTAATATTGTTAAAAAATTATTATATGAGATGTTAATATGCGTTTCATCAAAATAAAATGCCCTTGTAACAGGTGAAAGCCTTCTACGCCAATAAAGATTACTTACTTACTTAAATATTAGTTTTAGTGTAGAGGCCAGTTTTTATTATTATTTTATTTTTAAATTTAATAATTATTTTTAATCTTAATTAACTGGCTACAGTATTAATAAATTACAATATTGCATTAATAAACTTTTGCCATTTAATTTTACTTAAGCATATTTAAACACAAATTCTTGAATGCCAATTAATGCAGTTTTTACTAATTAATTTGATTTAAATTCAACTGCAGAATGTACTGAAAAATGAAAATAGCATCTTTTCCACATGTGTATTGAAATGTAATGTAAATAGCAACATTGTTGATTATTTGTATCATGACGAGAGACAATCTTGGCTTTGCTAACTTCTAAATCAGTAGTGATGATGTTGATTCGTTGGGTCATTGACTTTCTTTAACGTAGAAAGTACAGAACGTTTACCATCTGTGGCTAGCTTTGCCAACTAACTTGTTCGGCAAATGAGTTATTGTACAACAACCAAGACAAAAAAAATTCAAAATTTTGTTCATAAACCAAACTGTTTGAAAAGCAAGGCATCCGAAACCCAAGGTTCGACTATATATTTTTGTATTAGAATTTTTTTATATTAACCTTTGGGCACTTCTAATCCTATTGGGACCATGATATATGTATACTCTAACAGCTTCATCTATGCAGTGGTTGAAAATTTCATTACTCCAATGATGGATAATTGAAGCTGGACACACAATCAAAGACAATCCGGGACAAAGTTGTTTAGCTAAATTTAAATATATGATAAATTATAAAACTGTACATATTAATAAATAAATCATCAATAAACTTTCTAAATATTTTAACATACAAGTTGCTCCTTGCTCTTGTGATTCATATTCTTTTTGTTTCAATATCAGGGCTATCATTGTTATCGTCTTCCCTAGACCCATATCATCGGCTACAAAAAGAGTAGATATTATGTGCAAATTAACAAACAAACAAGATGTTTAATTTTGAACTTACCAAGAATTCCTCCATGTGGATAGTGACGTTCTCTCCACAGGAGCCAGGAAAGGGCATATCGTTGATGTGGAAGTAAAGGAATCAGAAGACTTTTTGGTGTTTCTTCAAGACAGTTATTTTTCGGACAAAAAGAACGGGAACTTTAAAGACACAGTATGGTTTCAATACATACAATTTTTAAAAAATTTGCAAAGCTTTATCATTAACTGTCTAGTTTACTTACTTCTGTAATTCGGACATGACATTTCTTATTCTTGTTCTCATTTCAGCATCTCCGACAAACTGCATCATGTAGTTATTCCATAAAATATTTTCTGTAATAATTTTACAGAAAGAAATTATTACAATAATTAATTATTTCACATTTATTGAGATATTTGGAGTTAGTAACTTGAAAAAGAATAGAACCTTAAAAATAAAATAATAATTTACATGCAAATGTAAATCAGTACAGAAGATTAAAACAAAAATTCAATTTGAAGAAGAAAGTGCGCTGTTGTCATCAATGACCATCTGTACTATGTCAACAGAACTAATATCAATATATTTCAGAAAATAAACAAATTTTTTAAAATGCTTGAAGGAAAAGCAAAATATAACAATTAAACAATATCTGATTTTCAAACTTAATTGCACACATTTTTTAAAAGTAAAAATGTAAAACAGACTATTAGAACTGGAGGTTAAATAGTTATTGTATTCACTTGCAGTAAAAAGTTTGCTTGCATTAACAGTAGATAAGAATTGAAATTAGATTAAAGAAAAAAGTGTTTAAGAATTATAAATACAAAAACTTTTGAAGTTCTATCAATTAATAGCAATTTCATTTTTGTAATACAAAAGCAAACTTTCAATGTTAATTTAATTCTTAATGTGCAGGCTTAACCTGCAATCACAAGCAGTTTTTTAGCACAGCTGCATGCGTAAGGCAGTGATTTTCCACTGATTTTTCAAGTGTAATTATGCTGTATGTAATTGGCATTCCTAAAATGTGACAATTCTGAAAACTCCTGCGATGTCTTCTTTGCACATGCAAATTTCAATGTCATACATTGTCTAGTTTATTTGATATTGTTTTGTTTACAGAACAATGGATCCTTAAATGGATTCCTACAGTGAGCACTTCAAATTTTGCAACAGCATCAGCTAATGTGAAATGAGTTCAGGTGAAAATAAATGATGAGAAAACAGATGTTTTTCAGAAAGACCGGAAAATTATTATTCTGTATTTTTTAGGCATGAAATAAACCCATGAAAATATTTAAATTGTCGAAGGGCACAGGCTCAAGGATATCTTAGAGATAATCATTGAAGATTGTAATGCCTTACAGACTGCATGTCATTATGTTATGCATGGCTGACAAACATCCATGATGTCATGACTAGTTTGCATGTTAATCACGAGAGACCTCCACAATAGCACTTTTGGTGACTTGAAAGTAATTGAAAATGATGTTGGAGCAAAAAATTAGTGCCTTACTCATGCAATTGTGTGACAACAAAGAAAAACAGATGGATATGCAGCTTTAAGATATCACAGAAGCACAAATAAGTAAGTCAATTTGGTGAAAATACCTGAGAAAAACTAGCAGGGATGGAAGAATCACTACTATTGCACATAATCACAAGTTAATGTGGCACATGAATAAAATGTAGCAAATTCAAATGATACCAGATCATTATAAAAAGAAATTATTAAAACTACAATTTTTTGTAGTAATCATACCTTTTAATCAATTGCCAAATAAGTTTAGTCTTATGCCAGAGTGGCTTATGATAAAATTCCAGAATTTATCCACACATTACTCAATGTAAATTGATTTTTACACATCCTTTTAATAATGAATAAATATAAATTGGAACAAGCTTATTTTTAAAAATATTTTATGCATAAAACTGTACACAATTATTATTATTAAAATGTATCTAAAATACTAAAAATACATACTCCAATTCAAGTTTATTACAATAAAGATTTTACAGACAATCCTAGACTTTGACAACTTGCTCTTTTGTGCATAATATATTGTGAGATCCGACCTCAGAATAAGCCCAAAATTGTTCATTTTCTCCCTAAATTTTCGACGTATTTAAAATAAATTTGTCGCCTCCTCGTTAAAATAACATTGTCAGAAAAAAGAATCAAATATCGATCGCAACTTATAACTTTCATCGTTAATATAAACATTCAACCCTCAAACAATGACATTCCTCTGCTGCAAGACAAAAAGTTTATAGTTAAAGTCTAAATTCGTCATTTTGTTTTAGTCCCGGGAACAACTTTGACCTCCACACCTGCAGGACCAACTCTATCTCACACTATAGGAAATCACCTGACTGATTTTCCCAGTCCAAAGCTATAAAAGCGACTTCTTTCCCCCTCCTCGGGGAAGTCTCACATCTACGGTCAAAAAGGATTAAGTCTCCAGGAAACTTTAACTTTGTGCGGCGAACTCTGTGCCTACATTGAAATTGACTAGAGGTATGAACAAATAATTGTAAACTCTCTCTCCGCGAGTTAGGAGCTAATAGTGAGCTAAATTCATTTCCCCATGTTAGATTTTGTAACCTATTTTTTGTTTCGTTAATCTAATAAATCGTTGTTTCATTGTTAAATGGCGTCCTTTTACTTGTATATCGCCTACGCCTCGTCGACGACCCCTCTCACCTCCTCCACGCGACCTGACAAAAAGTATACCGACCCTTCGGGACCGCATTCGAAATTTAGCCATCTTGACAAGTGAGCAGGTTTAACGACCTGTAGCCGAAAAGGGAGAGTCGACGGTTTCCGACCTCCCCGGCGGTTCACAATATTTGTGCCATTAAATCATTTTTTGTACATTAAATTTGGCTTTTCATACATTTTCAGCCCACAAACAAAAAATTTAGAGCTATCATACAATGGCACTTCTTTGCCACTTTTTGGTAATATTGGAATTATTTGTGAAATTTAAGTTTTATTGTCTGTTTTCTTTTTTAAAGTTTTTAACCTTTTAAACGATGTTTATGCAGAGTGATAAATTCATTGTAAAAAGAAAAAAAATAGTAAAAATTTCCTATCTTAAAAGGTTGCTTTTTAACTCTCTGGGAATGGAACTCTCTATAACATGCAACTCTATTGCTTGACTTTTGGATTGCCTCTGTATGTATAATAACCAAAGTCAATGGACACAGTAATTATAATTAAAGTATCCTTATTCAATGCTGTCTGGAAATATATGCATCAGTCCAAACTAGACAAAATTTTGTATGCTACTTTGGAAAACAAGAGATTGACACAAGAAATTTAGTTCAAAACTCACTGCTACAAATCTCTTGGCACTGAGTGGCAAAAAACCATCATGTGCATAATGCGCAAATGCTATGGATGATTTCGGGTATATAAAACTGCCTATGACATGGAAAATGCTGTTTATGTCAAATCAGCCATGGGAGTCATGATCGTGCCTAAACACAATTTTTGTGAAGCTGTTTTATGGAAATATCGCAAGGTATACTTTGAGTTCTTGATACCTTAAGAAATTGTACTGAGGTCCTTTGACCCTATGTTCTCTCAGAAAAATAATTGCTAAATTCAAAGAAATTAGTGGTCAAATAGAATGACCAAGGCAGAGATGCAAACCTATTGCTGCACAATTATTGAAAAATTTTGCAGCAGCTTTAGAAAAAACAAAGGAAAATATATTGTTAGTAAGTTCTAGCAGTGTAGGAGGCACCACTGTCACAACAGTTGACTGTCATATATGACCATGTGAAAGAAGAAAAAGTGTTGAATTTTTTTGCTATACAAGATCAGTGACATCTAACAGTTACTTGATGAAGTGAGTTTCCTGGTCAAAGAAACCCACCTGACCTTTTGCACTAAACTTCCTTGCTACAATAGAGTTGGATGATGCTTGGCCATAGGAGATCTTGTGAAATGATAAAGCACATTCATCTCAATGGAACAGTAACATCCTTAACCATCATATTTGGGTTTTGCAATATTAACAAGCATGTCAACAGGTTCCACTGCACTTGCTCAAACTCAGTGCATGTACGTTGCTTCAAAGCAACTTTTATCATTGGATCTAGTTCTATGCAGCTAGGTCTATGAGTCCAATAACCTGCTCTGACACTGCCAAAAGATATAGAGAATACCAGGTTTTTGTTATCCTGTAACTAAAGCAGGATAAAACAAAAACATTTGGATTGGCCATTTTTATATAAGACAGTCACTACCACATATTAGATGATGTGTACATCAGTCACTGTGTGGAAACATTTCACCAAGATCACAACGATTAGTTGTGTTTTCCACACTAGAGCCACCTTGATCTTTGGATCTTAATTCTTGTGTGTTCTAGTTGTGTAATCATTTAAAAAGCATAGTTTGTCAAGGTTTTACACCCAACCAGCAGTCTTGAAAAAAACACTACTTGTGAAAAGCATCACAGAAGATCGCTTATATTTGGCCATTGAATATACACAGTTTGTCAACTTCAGATTTTACAACTCCAAAATGGAGGTCACAATAAGTAGTATCAGTTGCACTGCCAAAGTCTGTATCTTTCCCTTTTGCATTTACTGTAAATACCAGCAATAATAAAATAGTAATGCAATAGACAATGCAGTAGCATTTCAAATGCAACATATTTTTTGTCATGCCTCAATTGATGACTGTAAGATGCACAAAAAAAAAAAAAAAATGTGACTTTTTACCACTTGCAGTGCCACAAATTTTGAAGTGGTAAATTTTAGAAGTAAATTTTTCCTTTGTGGGAATGTTTTCTGCATGTCCTAAAGTATCAGCATAAAATTTGATTGCATTTAGAATGTTACATCTTTCTTCAGACAGTGTCAAATGGGATACTTTAATTACAATTACTTTGTACATCTAAAATTTCATTACATAATTAATCTTACAATAACATTTACTTTGTTTGATATTTAAAAATCAAAAATTATCTTTTTGCTTTCAATTAATTAAACCAATACTGTCAAATCCATTAGAATTTTTTTTATATCAAGTTGTTATAAATGTAAATTTTACCTTTTGGAGTTTTTCCTAAGTCAGAATATTTTGGTAAAGTCATTTTTGTTCGTTCCTGTACATCTAGAGAGAGTTTCGATTCAGAAGATTCTTTAACCATTACTGGATGCTCTTTCTGTATCATATCCACATATACAGTTCCTTCTTCTGATTTACCATCCTTATGAATGACACATTGTTCTAAATAAAAATGTTCATTAGTTTTATCAAAAAAATAATCAAATTTATATTTCATTAATAATTCAATATAAGCCACTTTATTTGACAGAGACAAAGTTACTTGTAATAAATAAAACATAATCAATAAGCAAAATTTGACATATTAAAATATATATCACAAGTTACAATGATTACAATTATATGTATACAATTATAAGTCAAAAACACAAGAACAACAGAAAAATAATCTCTATAATAAGTCCACATTATATCCTATAATTTAAATGATTTATTTCTTTAGCATTTCTGGATAAGCTTTGCTCTGTAAGGAGTCAAGTCCGAAGTTTACTTTTATTTTTGGGGTTTTATTTAGTTCTCGTTATTATTTGTTTTGGGGATGTTTTGTTTTGTTAAAGTACAAAAGCTCACACATCAACCCCCCGAAAAAAGATACTAACTCTTACCACAATTGACACCATAATGCCATGTTGCCATTCAACAGCATCACAGGTTAAAGTGATTTTCATGTAGGAATTAAAGAAGGGATGCATAATTCTAAATGTAACTGATTCAAAAATCAGAACTCAAATTTTGAACATATTTGGTAAAAGACAGATGTTCTCAAGATTGTGAAAGAAAATACAGTAGACTCTCGAAAACTCGGCCTAATGTGGACCGAAGGGTGGCCGAATTTGTGAAAATGCCGGGTTATCGGGAATGGGGTTAAAAAAAATAAGTATGAGTGTTTCCTCAGAAAATACTGTACTGTACTTGTATGTATTGTTTACTTGAGAATACAACAGAGAAAAAACTGCCCAAATACCCTTAAACAAAGGAAAAGTACGTCTTCTATGAAGGCACAGAGCCTTTACTACATGAAAATGAAAATTAATGAATACACTGTGTATAGTAATTTACATGATAAGACAGACCTTAGAAAAATACTTTGAGGCATAAAGCTGTCTTTATCATGAAAATTAATTAACTAAGGATTTTTTTGCCCTGCCAGGGTGTGGCCGAGTTATCGAGTGCCGAGTTTTCGAGGCTCTACTGTAATAATTGTTGGACTAGGTATGTAAATGAGATATTGGAGTGGTGCAACCATAGTTGTCACCTCTGGAAGTATAAAGAATCCTACAAGACCAATGGAAGATGAAATGGAGCTCTCCTAAGCAAGCTGGTGAAGTTTCAAAAGCAAGTGCAATTGACATACAAGATTTCTAAACTTTTGGGTGTGACAATTAGGTGAGTTAATTAGCAAGATTCTTTTGACATTTTTGTAAATAGTTTCATATTTGTCAGTTTTTAATCGTTCTAAGAGTAGTCCTAAGTTAACTTTAAGTTCCTAAGTGTCAAGAAAGCTTTGTACATACTTGTTATTTTGATTTCAATTAGATAAAAGTACTGTTGAATTTTTTAAAATTTGTACAGCTTGTTTTTTTTCCTCTCTAACTTCAGTCATAGTTTTGTATTAGCCATTGTAAATAGTTTGTCTCTAGAATAATAAATTTTTAATTTCTTTTGATGCACAGTCAAATGTTTACTTCAGGCTATTTATACATTAACAGATTATTATTATTTTTTGAACATATTCATTTATGGTTTTGCCCATTAGAAAAGAGTCCAGGCCTAACACAAGTCAACCCTCATTTTGTTTTTCTTTGCTTATTTACATAAGCAAACGTTGTATTTGCCACTCATTTTTCATGCCCAGTTTCCATTAGGCACATATAACATTGTTCTTACACCTAGGCCTAACTTCCATTAGGTGCACTCATTGCATCAGAGCATGGACATTGTCACTGTAATACCTTTGTATATCGAAAACAAAGTCATGGACTCCTATTTTTACTTTCCTGACTCTGTTATCTGTAACAGAGGAAAAATATGGTAATCAGTCAAAAAATGACCCCCCAAGATTTTTACTTTTGGACTCAGAACACGTTGGAACGTCAAGAAAAAAAAACCGGGATTTTTTTCTGTATTACCGTATTTTCACAGAATGACCAGCCTATCTGGAGAGACTATAAAATCAGATATTTCCATATGGTAAAAACCAGAAAGCCGGTTTATCCTGGGAATGCTGACATGCAGTTTAAGTGAAGTTATAGAGCCCTCTCTAGATGGCACATTAAAAAAGCAAAAGAGTTATGTCAGGTAAAAACAAATGCATTTTTATTCTAAAACCATGAAACTGTCAGCATTACATCATAAACTACAATTATACATTTAAATTTCTTCATTTTGTCTTCTTTCTAATGACGTAAAATACTCGTGGAACTCCAAAAGTGCTTTTTTTAATGTTTACTTTATGGTAATTCAATTAAAAAATGCAAAAATAAACATATTAAATTTAAGAAACTCTTCCTAAATTATCTCAACTTAAGCCCAACATCTACTTTGTATGAAATTTGAGAGGAAGGTGTTATTTTTAAGGTCATGATGGATGGTCAGTGTAGTCCATACTAACTACTACTAATGTCAATAAGTTGCTAATTGTTTTATTGTCTTGTAAAGAAAACTCTCTTCCTGATTTTAAGTCAGTCAAATTACAACAATATTATATTGTACTTGAAAGAATAGTTTTTTAAACATTTGTTTAACAACTAGTTTTGTTATATCTGATTAATTTTAGTTTTTAGTCACAGTTTAACTGGCATGCTGGTCTTCCCAGTTTATACGTAGCATGATGGTCATTCTGCAAAAATATGGTAAAAAGATTCATGCTATTAAATTTTGGTAGTTTAAGGCAAACAGGGTGAGGAGATAAAGGATGGTCGTGCGCCACATCTTGAGTAGGATCAGACTTAATGACGATTTTACTCATTATTAGCATTTACAATTTTTTTTATAAAATCCATCCCTACCCTCAAAATTAAGCTTTTTGCCATTTTATAATAATTAAAAATGTAAACAATCTTTTTTAAATGAAATATCATACATAACAGATAGTGCCACCAGAATTTTAAATGTTGCCAGAAAAGTTAAGTGATTTATTGCTGAATTTGTTACATTTAAATGAATCCACATTTTATTTCTGGATTCCTTGTCTCAATTAAATTGTGCAATTTATGCAATATTGCTTTGTTGTGTGTGCTTGTGATACAACCTTAAATCTTGAAAACGAAGTCATAAACACCCATTTTTTAAATTGAATTTTTGGATTCTGCATCACAATTAATACAAATGGCAAAGTTTAATCAAAATCTATCAAATGGGTTTTGAGAACAAACACAATGCTGTAAGCCTCATAGAAGAAGCTTCGCTAATGCTCCACTTCAATAAAGTATATCATTAAATTATTTTTGATGTATATTGTGTAGATCTGTAGACAGATACTTTGTGACATATGATGTTAAAAAATTCAATTATTTCTGTATTTTAACAAAATGTATGCATCTAATATATGTAATCTGTCTTGTATATGCAAAGACACACAAGCACATTCAGTCCCATTGCCATTCTCATCAGTGACAATGAATTGACACATTTATAGACACTTCTTATTATTTATAAACATTACACCACCAAAATTTTGTCTTTCATCTAATTATTAAAAGCAATTTGACTCTGACATACTGTGTATATGTATCAAATATCCACATAACATGTTAGATAGTCTAAATTTAAACAAACATCTCTTATTTTTAAACCCTACTTATTATAAGTGACTTGGCCATCCAGATAATTTAGCTCTATGGACTTTAAGTCCTCAGATGCTCCAAGTAGATAATGGACGAGAAGTCCTAAACATGTCCCAAAAAACTAGATTTTGGATTTATATGCATACTAGCAGACCCCGCCACGCCTTGTTGTGGCTCAAAATGTATCTATTATAAATGTATAACACTTCCCCAGTGGGGGAAAATTTTTCGAAAAATTTTTTCTTAGTGTACATTCTGCTGACATACCCTATTAAAACGCAATCAAAAACGCAAAAACCCGCATCTAAAATAGTATAATAGAAGCCAAGTTTTTCA